TTTTTTTTTTTTTAAATGTTTTGATGATCTTAGAAGAAAGGAAAGGGAGGGGGGAAAGGAATACACCATAGGGGAAGAGAGAAAAGATGGGGGAAATTGTTTCACATAATTTATATGGACAAGTTGAAGACTATACAAACAAGGAAGAAGGGGTTGGGGAAGAGCACAACATTTGAACCTCATTTTAATCTAAACTAGTCAAAGAAGAGAATACACAACATATAGTTAGGTACAGAAATATATTTTGCTCAACAGGAAAAGAGAAGTGAAAGGGGAAAATGGGGAGTAAAAACTCAACTTTGGGTAAATCACAAAGAGGAATTTAAAAAGAATGGATAAGAACCTGTCATTGAACTTTGGACACAGGAGGGAAGAGAGGCAGGGGAGTAAAGACAGATTGCATCAAACCCAGAGTGCTCTTCCCACCCTCCTCTTTACAAAAAGAGAACAGGAAACTGACCAACACAATCACCAACCACAATTTCAGAGGACTCATGATGAAATCTACTATGCATCTCCTGATAGAGAAGTAAAGGACTCAATATGCAGACTGAGGCACTTTTTTGGACATAGCCAACGTAGTGATGAATCAGGAAGACCTGAGTTCAAACATGACCTCGGACCCTAGCTATATGTGACTTTGGGTGAGCCACTGAACCTGTCTCAGTTTCCTCATTTGTAAAATGGGAATAATAGCACCTTTTCCTGAGAGTTTTTGTGAAGATAAAATGAAAGAATATTTGTTAAGCATACAAACTTTAAAGTGCTATATAAATGCTACTTGCTATTATTACCATGCATATTTGTCACAAAAGTTTTATTTTTCTTTTTCAATGGGAGAGGGAATATTGGAGTGAGAGAAGGTTAATTTTTTTCAATTAAAAATATAATAACTTTTTTAGAGTTGTAGCTTGAATGCAGCTAAAACTAGAAAGGGAACAGTTAACTGGGGGAGTGGGGAATATTTGTAGCATTTCTCTGATACAGGTCTCATTTCCAAGATACAGAAAAAACTGATTCAGGTATATAAAAATAAGAGCCATTTCCAAACTGATGAATGGTCAAAGCAAATAAGTTGTGTTCAAAAGAAAAAAAAAACTAAGCTATCAGTAGCCATATGAAAAAAATTGCTCCAAATCACTAATAATTAGAGAAATGAAAAAGTAACCATGAGCTGTTCAGATTGGCAAAGCTGACCAAGAAAAAGTGACAAATATTAGGGGAACCTGCAGGAAAACAGGCACAATAATGCACTCTGGTAGAGCTGTGAAATGATTCAGCAATTCTGGAATGCAACTTAGACATCCCAAATTACTAAATTGTACATACCTTTAACTTAGTGATACCACTGCTGAGACTATACCCCTGAGCAATAAAAGAAAGAGGAAAGTACCCAGGTTGATAGTGAGTGATGTTAACGTGGGGCAAATTATTTCCTATCTGAGGATGTGAGATCCTGTAAAATAGGGGATTGGACTAGTTCTCCAAGAGCTCCCTTCCCAACTTAAATATCCAAAATACTCTCTCTCTCTCTCTCTCTCTCTCTCTCTCTCTCTCTCTCTCTTACCACCAAGAATGGTGGTCTGCACACAGTAGATGTGCAATATATGCATATTGCATTGATTCCTCTTCTCTTTTCAGCCCCTACATTCCTGTTTGGTTCAGATTTGTGCTCACAGCAGAGCTGCTCTGTGGGCTGAAACCAAGTGTGGGAGTGGCTTAAAAGGCTCATGTCAGCAGATGCAGTGGAATTTGGGATGAAAAAAGTTTTTCTTAGGGCTCTGGGCTGTAAGCTCTTCAGAACAACGCTCCCTATCTCAAGTTCCCTAGATATTCCCTAGCCAGAGTTTTAAGAATAGAAATGACTAGCCCTTATCAACTCTTACGAAAAAGGAAGATGTCGTTTTAGGTTTATATCACGATGACCTGGGTTTGAGTCTTGACTTATACACTTATGTGACCCTGGGGCAAGTCACTTAATGTACCTGAGCTTCAGTTTCCTCATCTGCAAAATAGGGATAATAGAATACCAACCTCTGAGAGCTCTTACCAGGATCAAAGGAGACAATATATGTAAAGCTCTTAACAAACATGAAAATACTATACCAATGCCAGTTACTATCATTATTATGTTAGGGCCTCTCCCAGATCTGGGCAGAGTAGAAGGGTTGGTATTTTGCCCCCCACTTCCACTTCTTAGGGCTGGTCACTTTATTGGAGTAAATCTAATCTTGTAATCCCACAGCTTCATTATGCCCTTTTGGAAAGGGTCTTGGGAGTCATTTAGGGCAACTTCCTGCCCTTTGGAGCATCTACAGCATCTGGAGTTCATTTGAACACCCAGGGAGCCTGAACTCTTGGCTTTTTGCACTACAGCAAAACTCTTGGTTTTGCACTACAGCTAATCCCTCATTTCTTGCTTCTCTTCTTGTCCCTGGGGAAGAAACATATCTGATAGTGCTCCCCAGCTGCCTGAATATACTGCCCTGATCTTGATTAGCTAGCACTGGGGCCTATTCTCCCAGAGATTCCCCTCCTAGAGCCATGTTGGCATTACCTCTCTTGATCTGGCCCCCATGTTTCTGCTTCCCAGAAAGGCAGGCTTCAGGGGCAAGGCCCTGCATCCTGTTGAGCTTTTCTTTTGAACAGCTGGAGTCCTGGTGGAGGCCCCAGGCATTATAGAGCTTGGGCAGGCTGTTGCTTTGCTCAGTAGGGGAGGTGACTGTCTCTGAGGTGTCCAAGGGCCGGAATGCCACCTGTAAACATACAGGATGCCAGGGAGCTCATGCATCAGGGAAGAGAAAAGGGGCCACTAAATTCTTAGTCTCTCTCACTCCACCCTCCAAGCACAGACAAAGTTGGGGAAAGTGGCCTAAAGCTGGCCATTAGGATCCTAGATCAGACACTGTTGCCTCCCTCTCTGCTCCTTTCTCTGAAAAAGAAAACCAGGGCTCCAATTCTCAACCTGCCTTCTAGAAGAATCCTCTCTCCCCACTTCACTCTTGGCACTTTAAAAATCTGGCTGAAGCCAAAAAAAAAAAAAAAAAGCGAAAGAAAGAAAGAAAAAAAGGTGAATTAACTGTTTGAACTCTGGACTCCAGGGTGAGTCCTTTCCACCTTTGGTTTCTACCTGATTGCTTTATTTGGGGAGCTAGAGATGGGAAGGAGCTGGTTTTCCCAGCCAGATCTGTGACTGGTTTTCACTTGAACAGGGAAAGTCCCATTACTCAACCCACAGTGGCCTTGTTCCTTGTTCGCTGGATGTCCCAAGGGAGAATAAACAAGAGAAGGTGTCCTGAAGTTCTCTCTCACACTCCTGTCAGGTATCTCTAGTTTCTTCCATGACCAGAGTTAAATCAATGAGAAGAACACTACCCATGTCTCCCTGAGGAGCCTGTGGAATGGGGGAAGCAGGTTGGGAGACAGGGAGAAGATCTTTACCAGGAATTTGGCATTCTGGTCGCTCTTGCTGTACTTGTACAGTCGGCGCAGTAGTTTGGCATCCAGCTCTGAGAAGAGTGAGATGAAACGCCAGAGCATCCTGGGGAGAAGAGACAGGAAGACACCTGAGCACTGATAAAAGCTGGACCAAAGGAAAAGCAATCTCTTTCACTAGGGAATAGAAATGGCCTGGGATTGATTGCCCTATCCCAGATCACACAAATAAGGCTGAATTATTTGGGAGGTGTTGGAGAATGGGTAAAAAGTGGGGGAGGTGTCAATTTAAGGATACCTTGGTTTGCTGAGCAAGTCAAGAGCTCCCCCCCCCTTTCTTTGAATAACTTAATAAGATGTTACCCTTTAAGATGTTAGATTTTAAGTTCTTTGAAGGCAGAGACTGTCTTTCTTTTTATTTGAGTTATATTCCCAGTGTTTAGCACGTTGCCTGGCATATAGTAGACACTTAATGTTTATTGACTGGTTGATCGTTGTAAGATGGGGTTCTGAATTCAGGAGAGCATGTAGCACTCTTTGTGGTCAAGAGATGTTAAAATACCAGACATGATCATGTTGGGAGCAGTGCTGCCCTAAACACATACCCCTCACATTCCACTTACCATTTCCTCCAGTCCTTGACATCCTCAAGTCTCCCCATTGACCAGGCTTCTCCCAAAGAGTAAAGGATGCTTAACATTTTTTCCCTTGTTTCCTTCAAGACCTAGCTCACGCATCATCTCCTACTTGAAACTTTTCGGATTTCCCCAACTGCTAGTGCCTTCTCTCCCCAAACTACCTTAGATTCATTTGTACATATATATTTATATATGTGTATGTTGTCACCCTATTAGAATGTAAGGTCCTTGAGAGCTGGGACCATTTCACTTTTGTTCTTAGCAGAGTGTACTTCGCACACAATAGGCATTTAATGAATGCTTGTTGGCTGATTGATTGAATGGGTAGGGGTGGCCCAGAGACCTACTTGACACAAATAGTCTCTCAATCTTTCTTTTCCTCTCTCCATCTTTTCAGCCCCAAAATGATCCTATGAAGGAAAGGACTCAGTAGTGGGATGTTTGGGGAGGGAAGTGCCATACTTCCTCCAATGCTTGATTTCCCAAGCTCGGCAATAGTGCTGCAGGAAGGTATTGATGTGGTCCCCTAGAACCATCAGGCTCCTCTTCATGTATTTAAGTTTCTTCTTTTGGGGTAGATCCCGGGGCAAGTGCAATTTTCGAAGAAACTTCTTTAGAGGTCTCAAATATTCTTTACACTAAGAGGAGACAACAGGCATGGTTAGAGAAAGCCAGGGGTTTATTTTCCCTCTGGTCATGGGGCAGCCAGAAGAAAGCAAAAGATCCCACACGATTAAGGGGAATCTGTTGCTTAGCCCATGGGCCAGTCTTCCCCCTGCTCCTTTCCTTCCCCAGGTCCCAGCTCTCCATCTATGAGATAAAATGGGCCTTTAACCCCAGTGCCCTAAGGCAGAGGAAATGATGACTGATATCTGTCTGTGTATCCTCATGTCTCCAAGGGTCTTTGGCTCTGTGGATGTACCCTGCAGATATGAGATCTACCCACACTTTCCAAAGGGTCAAAAAAATGAGACAAAACTTTGCAAATTCCTCACTCACAATTTTGAAGGTGTCCTGTCCCAGGCCCTCTGCATGGCGGATGAGTGAGTCTCCAGCTGGAATGGTGCTGGAGCTTCTCTCCAGACAGGGCGCTTCTGTCACCTGTAGGAGACAGGTCTGGGCTAGGGGTGGGGTGGGGTGGAGGGCCTCGTCTCTGCTTCTAGTTAGCGGGGTAGCGCTGAGCAGGGTTTCAGCTGAAGCCAGCTTGGCAGTCTGGACTGGGCCACCATGTACCAAAGCTCCAACATGACCCTTTCCTCCGCAACTCTCTCAAACCAATATTAACAGAGAGTGGACCATTTAAATACCCTCCTGACCCCAACCCCATACAAAGAACCAACTTAGAAAATAGGGACACTAGGACATGGGTATCCAATAAACAACTGATTCAAGCAAATATGTCCTACCTGACCCCAGCTGAAGCCTGCTTAAGATTTTCAGCAAAAATATTTAACTTATTGGCTAGCATACATAACTTATCAAAACTAGTAGGACCCCACCAGTTGCTTTCAACTGCTGCTGGGGGACTGAATGCAACCAGATGTCATGATAGCTCAACTAATAATTTTACCTGAAGCCAAATGTAAATAATTAAATCCATGTGGCACTGGAAGTCAGTCACCAAGCATTTATTAAGCACCTGCTATGTGCCAGTCACTGTGCTAAGTAACTTAGCTCACAGTCTAAAAGGGGAGAGAACATGCAAACAACTTTGTCAAACAAGAAATATACAGGATACATTAGAAATAATCTCAAAGAGAAGGCACTAGCATTAAGGAGGAAAGGCTTCTTGTGGAAAGTAAGATTTTAGCTGAAACTTGAAGGAAGCTAGGGAAGTCAGAAAATGGTAGACCAGAAGGGAGATCATTGCAGGCAGAGGGGAGGTGATGGTCAGACATGTATTTTAGGAAGACCCATTTGATCTAGCTGACTGGAGAATGGACTGGAGTGGGCAGAGAAACTAAACAGAAGGCTATTGAAAGTCCAGGTATGAAGTGATGAGAGCCTGTACCACAGTAATGGCAGAGGAGAGAAGGGGGCATATACCACGGTAGAACAGACAAAACTTGACTACGACAAAGACTTGGATATAAGGGGAGAGTGACAGAGAGCAAGGAATGGTGGATGTTATCTCAGTTGTAAGCCAAGGTGACTGGGAGGATAGTAGCATCTTCTGCAGTAATAGGAAAGTTCAGAAGAAGGGAAGGTTCTTCTCTGGGGGAAGAAAATAATAAGTTCAGTTTTAGATGTGTTGAGTTTAAGATGTCTGTGGGATATCCCACCTATTGGGGCAAGAAGTCACTATTTGACAAAAACTGTTGGGAAAACTGGAAGTCAGTCAGGCAAAAATTAGCAATAGGCCATCTCATACCATATACCAAAGAAAACTCCAGGTAGGTAAATGGTTTAGACATAAAGGGTAACATCATAAACAAATCAGAGGAACATGAAAAAAAATTACCAAATTTATATGTAGGGGAAAAGTTAATGACAAAACAAAAGACAGAGAGGTGCACAGAAGGTAAAATGGACAATTTTGATTACACAAAACCTAGAAATTCTTGCACAAACCAAACCAATATAGGTAAAATTAAAAGAGAGGCAGAAAATTAGGGGGAAATCTCTGTAGCATTTTTTTAAATAAAAGTCTCATTTCTAAGACATATAGGGAACTGATTCAAATTTTTAAGAATAAGAACCATTCCCCAATTGACATGAATAGTAGTTTTCCAAGGAAGAAATCCAAACTATCAATAGCCATGTAAAAAATGCTCTAAATCACTAATAATTAGAAGAATGCAAATTAAAACAATTGTGAGGTACCACTTCATACTCATCAAATTGACAAAGTTGAAAAAAAGGAAAATGTTAAATGCTAGAGGGGCTGTGGCAAAATAGGCACATTAATGCACTGTTAGTGGAACTCTGATCTGTTTCAGCCATTCTGGAAATCAATTTGGAAGAATGCCCAAAAAACTATTAAACTGTGCATACCCTTTGATCCAGCAACACCAGTACCAAGTGTATCCCCCCAAAGAGATCATAGGAAAAGGACTTATATGTGCAAAAATATTTATAGAAATTCTTTTCATGGTGGCAAAGAATTGTAAACTGAAGGGATGCACAGTAATTGTAGAATGGCTCAACAAGTTATGGTATACGAATATGATAAAATATTATTGTAGTATAAGAAATAATGAAGGGGATCATTTCAGAGAAACGCAGGAAGATTTATACGAATTTTTGCAAAATGAAGTGAGTAGCAGCAGAAGAAAAGTTTATATAATAGCAACAATATTGTAAAGACAAGCAATTTTAAAAGACTTAGGAACTATAATCAATATAAAGGCCAACAATTCCAGAGGACTCATGATGAGACATAGTACCTACCTCCAAAGAGAGAGATGCTGGACTCAGAATGCAGATTGAAACGTTTTTTTTTTGACTTGACTAATGAGGGAATTTGTTTTGCTTAACTTCATGTTTTTAACAGGTTTTGTTTTTCTTACTTTCTCACTGAGTGAGTGAGGGGGAGATGTAAAAAAAATAAAATTTAATTTTTAAAAATTTTTTAAATTTAGTTTTTAAAACAATGTCTGTGAGACATCCAGTTCAAGGTGTCCAGTAGACAATTGAAGATTCAAGTCTTGAGGCTGGGAGAAAGGTTAGGGCTAGGTGATAAGTAAATCTGAGAATTATCAGAATAGAGATGATAAATGAATCCACTGGAGCTGATGAAACCACTAAGTGAAAGAGTATAGAAGGAGAAGAGACCTAAAACAGAGGTCTGGAGGATACCTACTGTTAGTTGGCATGATATGGACAAAGATCTATCGTAAGAGACTGAGGAGCAGTTAGAAAAGTAGGAATAGAATCAGGACGGACCAGTGTCATGAAAACCTAGCAGAGAATAGAGTATCAAGAAGAGGGTGATTGACAATATCAAAGACTGCAGAGAGCGTAAGAAGGATGAGAACTGAGAAAAGGCTATTAGATTTAGCAATTAAGAGATTATTTGAAGAGAGAAGTTCCAGTTAAATGATGAGGTTGGAAACCAGACTGTAGAGAATTGTTAAGAGAATGAGAGGAAAGGAAGTAGAGGCACTGAATTATAGACAGCCTTCTCAAAGAATTTAGCCACAAAAGGATGAAGACATATGGAGCAATAACTAATGGGAATGGACAGATCAAGTGAGGAGTTGTTTGGTTGGGTTTTTGTTCTCGGAGGTTGGAGGAGAAATGAGCACATTTGTAGGGAAATAGCCAGTAGACAAAAAGATTGAAGTGAGAGAGTGGGGATTATAGAGAGGACAGTCTACAGAAGATGGAGTGGAATAGGATGCCTTTTGCATGTAAAAGAGTTTACTCTGGCAAAAAGAATGGTCTCTTCTTCATGTGAGATTGAGGTGAAGTAGCAGAAGGCATCCAGGTGATGTGAGATGAGAAAGAGGGGAGAAAAGGGAGCTCTCAGTAAATGGCTTCAGTTTTTTCAGCGAAATATGAGACAAAGTTCTCAGCTGAGAGAGCAGAGGAAAAGGGATCCTGGGAAGTTTGAGAAAGGATGAAGAGGTTCGGAAAAGCCTCTGTGGTGAGTGGGATAGTGAGTCAATTAGGGAGGTGTAAAAGAATCTGCTTGCCACGGTGGGATCCCAGTTGAGATGATGTAACAAATTCGAATTAGATGGCTTCATTCAGTAGCACATGAGTAGGAACAGAAGCAGTGGGAATGATCCTGGGACTGGAAAGAAGAGGACGGCATAGAACTGAACTGGTTCACCAACTGGTTGAGATGAAGAAGAGAAGAGAAGATAGTCAATGCAGGGATGACAGCCTAGGAAAGAACTCAATAGATGAGGGATTAGAGGTCACAGTGAGGATCAGGAGCACGGGTTGGGGTTACAAAGCAGAGGGATAGTTGAAGTGACAACAGATTGTGATCAGATAAGGGAATTTCAGAATTCATGAACCTGGAAGTGACAGGTAATGAAGTCTTTCTTAGTGGAATACTAATAGCTTTTTCTCTCTATTCACTGCTCACAAAACTTTTTGGCCTGAAATATCTTCTCCCCACTGTTCAAGGCTCAGTGAAAATTCTGTTTCCTCCAAGCCTTCCCCAACAACTCCACAGCCCCTAGGGAGCTCTCCGTCCTCTACATTCATATTCCTTCCCTGGACCTGGAGGTACTCCTCGACATTTAGTCAGACATGTGGCATAATGTCTGGAAGGCTAGACTTGGAGCCAGGAAGACCCAGGTTCAAATCCTCCCTTTTATCAGCTTACTACTTATGTGACCAAGGGTAAATGCTCCCCAAGTGTCGGTTATTATTCAATTCAACAAATGCTTCTGAATGCCTACTGCATGCAAGATACTATATGCTATCAAAGTATCTGCTGTTGCTACCTTGCCTTCCTACATGTCTGGTCTCCTTCTCTAGACTGTAACTCTGAGGGCAAGGATTCTGTCTCATACCTTGTCATCTCTCTGACCTCTAGCCTAGTGCCTAGCATATTTTTTAAATTAATTTATTTATTTTTAGTTTTCAAACATTCACTTCCATAAACTTTTGAGTTTTAAATTTTCTCCCCCTTCTTCCCCTTCTCCCTCCCCAAAATAGCATGTAATCTGATATAGGCTCTACATATACATTTCTATTAAACATATTTTCACATTAGTCATGTTGTAAAGAAGAATTAGAACCAATAGGAGGAACCACAAGAAAGAAGAAACGAAACAAAACAGAAGAAAAAAAAAGGAACAAATAGTATGCTTCCATCTGCATTCACACTCCATAGTTCTTTCTCTGGATGTGGATAGCATTTTCCATCATGAGACTTTTGGAGATGTCTTAGATCCTTGCATGGCTGAGAAGAGCTAAGTTGGTCATTGTACAATGTTGCTGTTGCTGTATACAATGTTCTCCTGGTTCTTCTCACTTCACTCAGCATCAGTCCATATAAGTCTTTCCAGGATTTTCTGAAGTCTGCCTGCTCATCATTTCTTTTAGCCCAATAGTATTCCATTATATTCATATACCATAACTTGTTTGGTCATTCCTAACTGATGGGCATCCCCTCAATTTTCAATTCTTTGCCACCACAAAAAGAGCTGCTATAAATATTTTTGTACATGTGGATCCTTTTTCCATCTGTATGATCTCTTTGGGATACAACCCTAGAGGTGGTATTGCTGAGTCAAAGGGTATGCACAGTTTTATAGCCCTTTAGGCAGAGTTCCAATTGCTCTGCAGAATGGTTAGATCAGTTCACAACTCCACCAACAATGCATTAGTGTTCCAATTTCCCCACATCTTCTCCAACATTTATCATTGTCCTGTTTTGTCATGTTAACCAATCTGATAGGTGTGATGTGGTACCTCAAGAGTTGTTTTGATTTGCATTTATCTAATCAATAGTGATTTAGAGCATTTTTTCATATGACTATAGATAGTTTTAATTTCTTCCTCTGAAAACTGCCTGTTCATATCCTTTGATCATTTATCAACTGGGGAATTACTTATATTCTAATACATTTGACTCAGTTCTCTATACATTTTAGAAATGAGGCCTTTATCAGAGACACTGGTTGTGAAACTTCTTTCCCAGTTTTCTGCTTCCCTCCTAATCTTGGTTGCATTAACTTTGTACAAAGTACAAAAACTTTTCCATTTAATGTAAGCAAAATTATCCAATTTGCATTTCATAATGTTCTCTATCTCATAAATTCTTCCATTCTCCATAAATCTGACAGGTAAACTATTTCTTGCTCTCCCAGTTTTCTGAAAGTATGAGACTTTATATCAAAATTGTGAAGCCATTTTGATTACCCAGTGTAAGGTGTTGGTCTATGCCTAGTTTCTTTTTTTGTTTTGTTTTGTTTTTGGTGAGTGCTTAGTTTCTACTCTACTATTTTCCAGTTTTCCCAGCAGTTTTTTGTCAAATAGTGAGTTCTTATTCCAGAAACTGGAATCTTTGGGTTTATCAAACAATAGATTACTATAGTCATTGACTTCTGTGTCTTGTGTACCTAACCTATTCCACTGATCCACCACTAAATTTTTTTGCCAGTAACAAGTAGTTTTGATGATTGCTGCGTTATAATACAATTTAAGATCTGGTATGGCTAGTGCCTAGTGTATTTTTTAAACCAGATCTGTGATTTAATTGACTTAGGAAACTCCCATGAGGAACCTCCCTCTACTAAAGGTGGTCTACACCTATTTTTCCATTAACAGTCTTAGAGAATTGTCCCTGAGATATTAAAGGACTTGCCCAGGATCACACAACTAGTATGTATTAGAGGCTGGTCTTGAACCCAGGTCTTCTTACCCCCCAGTCTGGTTCTCTATCCATTACTCTATGCTGCCTCTTACCCTGCCTTGCCTCTAGACAGGGCACAATAAGGTCGAAGGTGCTGCTGAAAGAAGATGTTGGAAAATGAATGCTAGGGACAAATGAATTAAGTCACACAAAAAGTGTGTTTCCCAGTAGATCCATTTAGCTTGCAGAAAAAGGACCTCAGAAAGGCAGAAGGCAAAAGGCTATTTTAGGCATACCATAATTGAGGGATACATTAATTGATTCATCTACACAAATTCAAGTTAGGTATAAACAACTTTTCAGGATAATACATGAAAGGTAACAATAACTCACAGTTACATAGCTCTTTAAGCAAAGTACTTTGTCTATATTATCTCATTTGATCCTCATAGCAATTCCAAGAGTGGGCACTACGATTAACCTCATTTTATGGATGAGGAATCTGAGTCTGAGAGAGATTAAGTGTCTGAGGGAGGATTTAAACCCAGGGCTTCCTAATTCTAGGTCCAGTAATCCACTAAATCATGCTGCCTCACAAAGATGATGTTAATGCACTTGTAAATAAATTAATGAACCTTTGGATCCTCTCTTCCCCCCAACAGCAGTTGCTCCAGACACTGGGGAACATAAGATGCCCTGGCTAACTGTTTCAAATCACAGCAAGGTGGGACCTCTAATCCAAAGCAAGGTTATAATTTTCTAGGTCTCTAATCACTTCCTTTCCCTTCCTATCTTCTTCCTCCCACTTCCTTGAATCTTCTGCAAGCTCCTTGCTTTTTCACAATGCTCCCTCCCTCACTGTCTCTCTTCTCCTTTATTGTTGTCTGTCCCCCAAATTCCCCGCTTCACCTTCTCTTGTGCCTTGTCCCCTTCGCCCCCTAGTCCGTCCGAGGCCTCCATCTCAGCAGCTCGGCTGGTGGGCTCCTGAAAGGAGATACACACCTCCCCCAACCCCTGACTTCCGATCCTCCTCTATGACCTGAACTCCCCCCACCCCCCAGAGTGTGGAGGTTGACTCCAGAACTCACAGGGGAACCATGGCAACTGCCAAAACAGAGCACCCTCTCCATAGTCCCTAAAGATGCCTTGCCAGATTTTAATGTCATCTGTAAGGGCCCACAGCTGTATATGGCCCAGAGAGAAGAGTACTACATACGTACGTAGTCTCATTAAGGACCCCAGACCTTTCTAGGGGGCCAAGCTAGCTCAGGAGGTGGCAAATGCCCCCATAAGTACATATATATATATATATATATATACACACACACATATATATGTGTATATATATACATATGTATGTACACAAATAGATAAACAGATAGATGCTCAGAGACTTATGAGAACTTGATTTTAAGCACATAATTATCATAGCTATGGACAACAAATACAAAAAAGCATTTATTAATAACTGTGTGTAGAGCAGTGTGTGTTCAGTCACATCTGACTCTTTGTGACTCTATGTGGAGTTTTTTTAGCAAAGATACTGGAGTGGTTTGCCATTTCCTTCTCCAGCTCATTTTATAGACGAAGAAATTGAGGCAAACAGGGTTAAAGAGACTTGCTCAAGGTTACTCAGTAAATGTCTGAGGCCAGATTTGATCTCAGTTCTTCCTGACTCCAAGCCTGGTGCTCTATTCACTGCGCCACGTTGCACTGTCATAGGCACAGAGAGAACTAAAAAGTTTATATAAGATGTGGTCCCTGTCCTCAAGGAATTTATAGTCTAGTAAGAGGATAAGACAGAAATACCTGGAATTTGAACTTTACTCAGTAGGTAATAGGGAATCACTCAAGGGTGACATGACCAGATCATTGCTTAATGAAGATAAATAGCTAGCAGGTAAGCTGAAAGAAGGATGGAGAGAAGAGAGGCAGATCATCCTGATAAATGACTATTGTAGTAGTACAAGTGGATGGTAACAAGGACGTTTATTAGGGTGATGGCCCTGTAAGCAGAGAGGAAGGGATAAGAAAAGAAATGTTGCATAGGTAGAATGGATTGAGGTGAGAGAGAAGGAAAAGTCAGAGACAACCTCAAAGAGACTGGGTGAATGATGATGTCATAGACTGAAACAGTGAAGTCTAAAAAGATATGCTCGATTTTGACCAATGCTGAGTTTGAGAAGGTAAAAAAACAATCATCCAGGTGGATGGATATGTCCTATTGCAGCTGGAGTAGCTTGTCTGGGGCTCAGAAATGAAGATACGGATTAAGAGAGCCACTTGTCAAGAGCTAGTGGTTGAAAATGGATTGTGAATTGGAGAGTTAAGAGAAAGGTTATAGAACCAGAAGAGGGTCCATGACAGAGCCTTTCGGACATTAACAGGGCATGAAGAGGTCGGAACTGTTAAATGCCCACTTTTGTTCAGCAGCATATGCGTAGGAGTAAAGGCAGCAGATGGTGAGAATTATGTAAGGTTAAGGCTTGGCAGGGTAAGATAGATGATGAGGGGCATGGGACCCAAGAAAAAAGGATAGAGTAGAATTAAGCTAATTCACCAAGGGATCCTTCTACACTGAAGGATATGGAGAAGGAAAATCTAGGGAGGGCAGAGGAAAATCAAGAGCCTAGTGTAACTCTGAGAATTTCTAGTCAAATGGGATTGCTGATATAGTCAAAAGATGAAGTGGGGTCAAGTGGGATAATTTTTTTTAAAAGGTCACTGGATATAGTAATTAAGAGATAATGAGCAGTTTTGAAAAGAACAGTTTCAAATCAATGGTGATAGTGGAAGCCAGATTGCAAGGGATTGAGAGGAGAAAGTTAATAATTAAGTTGTGGTACTGAACGGAGGCAACCTTTTCAGGTTTAATGGTAAAAAGAAAGAGAGATAGGGTGGTAGGTAGGTGTGGTAGAAAGGGTCAAGAAAAGTGTTTTAGGACTAGGGAGATTCAAGTTTATTTGTGGGCAAAAGGGAAAGTTCAAGAGTCAAGGAGGAGACTGCAGATGAATACAAGAGAGGATACCTGTTGGAGCAAGGTTCTAGAAGAAGCAGAAAGGAGCAGGAGCATGTAGGGATAGAGGATACAGAATACAGGTAGGGGAGTGACTCTCTCCCTGTTAACCTGAAAGAAGAGAGTATGTGATATTGCTGAGAAGCTATGAGGAATGGACAGAAGTCAAATGATCTCAGAGCTTCTAAGTGATGTTGTTAGGAATAAGAAACAAAGGTTGGCCATTCCCTTGGGGGAGTTAGATAGGAAACTGATAAGGGAAGACACTGGAGGGATTGTTAAACAACAGCATGGGCTCATTGGAGGTGATGTGCTATGAATCTGTAGGTGAAATTCATTTGGGTTTAAGGACTTTCTCTCTGCTGCCATAAAGAGAGAGAGGAGGAAATGGCTAGTAGGCATTACCAAAGAATAATGGAAGGAAGATTCAAAGGTTGAGAATAGGAAAGAGTTAAGGGAAGCAAGAGATTCTGGGGCAGCAGTTAGAGAAATATTAAAGGGGCAGAAAATGGGAATTAAGGCTGGTTAGGTAGGAAAATAAAGCTAGAATGAAGGACATAGATTAGGAAGACTGGAAAAGAAATAGCAATGAGGAAGTTTAGCTCTATTGTGAGGGACAGAGTGGAAGACAGAAGGATGGGAGGCAGTAGTCAGAGGGAATTTAATTAGATTATAGATCTTGGAAAGGGAGCACAATGAGATAGTAATGTCTAACTTCCCCAAGTCTGTAGATGGTGGCCACCCAAGTTCCCAATCTGAGAGTCACCCTTTACTCTTCATTATCTCTCAGTCCACGTATATCCAATCAATTTATGTCTTGTTGATTCTACCTTCACTGCTCTCACATCCATCCCCTTCTCTCTATTCGCAGGGCCACCATACTAGTTTGTGCCCTCATCACCTCTCTTCTGGACTATTGTAAGTGCCTCCTAATTGATCTCCCTGCCTCAAATCCCTCCCTTCTCCAATCCAACCTCCACATTGTTTCCAAAGTGATATTTATAAAGCACAAGTATGACTATGTCATTTACCTGCTCAGTAAGCAATAAAAGCTAAATGCGAACTCTTCTTTTTAGTATTGAAAACCTTTCACAACTTGGCTCCAATCAATCTTGTTACACATTGTTCCTCTTAGTTTCCTCCAAAGTTCAGGTCAAGCATCACCTCCCACTTAGGTCTTTTCCAATCTCCAAGTTGCTAATGCTGCCTCCAAAAGGTAACTCAGGGGAATGCTGTGGTCAGTCTGATAAAATCAAGGTGAAGAGTAGAAATGTACTAGTATCAGCTCAGAAAGCTCTGGGGTATATGAAAAGATAAAGCACCGGGTCTGCTAGGTGGCACAGTGGATAGAGCTCTGGCCTTGGAGTCAGGAGGACCTGAGTTCAAATCCAACCTCAGACACTTGACACTTATGAGCTGTGGCTGTGTGATCCTGGGCAAGTCACTTAACCCTGATTACTTCAGGAAAAAAAAAAAAAAGTAAAGCACCTGTGACCGGACTTGAACATGTTCTTTTCCTCAAATACCTGGGTGTGTATAAGGGGATGCCTTCTAGCTGGAATCCTGATCCTGTATTTCAGATGGGCAAGTAGTAGGGACGTAAGCCTAGAGATAAGATTAGTATAAGATTATGTTGCACAGGGCCTTGAATGTCAGGCTATGGAGTTGGTACTTTATTCTGTAGCCAATGGAGAACCATTGAAGAATGTTGACAGGGAAGACCAGAGACCACCCCCTCCCTCTGGTACCTCTCTTTCTTCCCTGCTTCCCATTCTCTTTAAGGGTAGCAGGGCACAAGGTGAGAGGCACAGATGTGACTTTATGTAAATAGATACATCTATCTTCTGCCTGTTGTTGGGGAAGGAAGACAACATTGTTCCTCTTCCAATTCATGCCTAATTTGGTGTATATACCAGTACTTAACTAGATATATATAGATGTGACCTAGATGTCTCAGTAGATTGTGTACGGGGTTTGGAGTCAGGAAGACCTGAGTTCAAATCAGCTCAGACACTAACTGTGTGAATTCCGGCAAGTCACTTAACCTCTGTTGCCTTAATGCACTACAGTATTGCTAAGAAAACCCCACAGACAGTATACTCCACAGGGTTACAAACAGTCAGACATGACTGAATAACATATATATATATATATATATATACACACACACACACACACACACACACATACACACACACGTATATATACATATATACATATATGTATATGTGTGTATGTGTGTATATATGTATATGTGTGCATATATACATATATACACACACATATATTTATGTACATAATGTTATTGCTAGCTTTCTTTTTTTTTACATCAGTCATCATTTCCCTTTACCCTGAATCCCACTGAACTCTTCCTTGTAACAAAGGAAAGTATTTGAGCAAAACCAGCTACCACAACTGCCCTATGTAAGCACATTTTCCAAATTCCCCATCCATAATCCCCAGCTCTACAAGAGAAGGGAGGAAAGATGCTTCTATAGGGCCCAGGGACCAAGCTGTTCATTAGAATTCAAATTCATCAGAATTTGCTTTTCATTGTTATCCTTTTTCATTAGGAATGAAGGAATCAGTTAATAGCTTTTATTTAGAACCTCCTATGTACCATGGACTGCAGGGTTATGAGGACAAAAATGAAAGTCCTGCTCTCAAGGGATTTACATTCTGTGTGAGATGAGGGGAACAACATTTACATATATAAGTATATGCAAAATAAATCATAACAGCTAGTACTTATATAATGCTTTAAGGTTTGCAAAGCACTTCACAAATATTATCTCATTTTATCCACACAACAACCTTGGAATTTAGGTGCTGTTGTTATCCCCACTTTATAAATGATTAAACTGAGTCAGGCAGAAGAAGTTGTGACTTTGCCCCAAGTCATACATTAGTGTTGGAGAATTTGAACCAGAGCCTTTCATACTCT